AGGGAAGTTCTCGACCCTGTGGCCTTAAGGAAGAGTGACCCAGCAAGGAAGATCCCTGGGCCAGGGAATTTCTATAGAGGAGACAAAGATCTGAGTGTCCAGAAGTTTCCCAGGCCGGAAGTGGCCTCAGCATGGCCCTTGCAAAGTGGCTGCCCGTTTTTACCCGCCCCGTGCGGGCCTCCGGCAAAGCTGGCGTTCCCACGGAAGCGGTGAGCATTTGGGGACTGTGCTTGAACAGGGTTAAAACACATTTGGCTTCCTCACTAGTGCCCTGTCTGGTGGACACCGGTGGGCAGTGCGCCAGCAGAGCCCAGGGCTCTGACCTGCCTGAAACTCAGCCACATCCATTTTTCACCCTTCCTGGGCCTGACAGCCCCCTGCAAGACCGGGGCCCCGGCTTCCGCCACCCCGATGGTGTTCAGGAAGCAGTGACTGAAACGCTTCCTCTCTGTGGTCTAGAGAAGACACAGCCGACGCCTCAGACAAAACAAAGCGGCTGCGCCTTGCACCCATAAGTACCAGAGTACCAGAGGCACGGCAGAGCCAGCTCTCAGCCGCTGCAGGGGCTCGGCCAGCTCCTCAGGAAGCTTGCAAGGGAGGTGAGTCACTTCTTTTTTTTGGGGGGGGTCACACCCGGCGATGCACAGGGGTTACTCCTGGCTCTGCACTCAGGAGTTATCCTGGCAGTGCTCAGGGGACCGTATGGGATGCTGGGAATCGAACCCGGGTCGGCCACGTGCAAGGCAAATGCCCTACCCACTGTGCTATGTCTCCAGCCCCCATCACTTCTTTAATTCAGGACAGAGGGAAAGCTAGAAGCACCCTCCTGCTGTCCTTTGGGGAATTTTTCTACATTATTCCACGTCTCGCCCCTCCCCCAGCCTCTTTCATGCCTGTGTTCCCCCAATCCTCTCCTCAGCTGGAATCAGAGGGGACTCATAGTTTGGTGGTGCCAGGGATCAAACTCGGGGCCTCACCCACATAAGGCAAGTGCTCAACTGCAGAGCTCCACCCTGGCGCCATGTGACTTTTCTCACCAACTCCCATTGCCTGGTGGGAAGTGTCAAGGGTCAGAGAGGGCAGAGAGGGGAGTTTCCTGTCTGGGCATGACAGTGGACAGCTGCCTGTGCGCCTCGAGCAACAGGTAACGCCCACATGTACTGGCCCTTTGGCCTTTCTCCTCAAAGCTGCCACGTGGGCCAGTGCCTGAGGACCAAGCTCAACTCCCGAGCACTCTGGCCATCGGGAAAGGGGTTCCCCCCTGTCCATCTTGGCCATCTGCAGTGCAGGCTCTACCGAGCTGGAGTGGGAAGGGCGAGGCGCTGGGAAGATACAGGCAGTGAATTCTTCCTTTTTCCAGTCACATTTTAGGTCTGCTGTTTTTGTTTGTTTGGGGTCACACCCAGCGATGCTCCAGGGTTTACTCCTGCCCTTGCTCCAGGGATCATATGGGATGCCCGGGATCCCACAGGCCAGGCAGTGTGCAGGGCGAGTGTCGTGACCCCTGTGCTATCTCCAGCCCAGGCGTGTTGTTTTGTCAGTGAAAGAAACCTATAGGGGAAAAGAAAGGCAAAGCTAACTTCTGGTAAATAGTGGCGGAAAAACTGCCTTTTCTTTGGGGGCTAGAGAGATAGTAAGGGGGTTAGGTACTTGCTAGGAATAAGCTGAGCCATGACCCAACCCTGGCCCAAACTGGTGTGCCCACCCCACCCAACATCTCCCCTGGCCTCCTCCCCCTGCAAAAAAAAAAAAAAAAAACCCTTGTTTCTAAGAGCTGTCTAGGTATAAACCAATTTTGGGGGGCTTGGGGGTGTTTGTTTATTTTTAAGACCCAACTTTTTTTTGGGGGGGGGATCATCACACCTGGCAATGCAGAGCGGTGACTCCTGGCTCTGCACTCAGGAATTACTCCTGGCAGTTTCCTGGGGGTGGGGGGGGGTTCCTGGCAGTTTCCTGGAGGGACCATATGGGATGCTGGGAATCGAATCTGGGTCGGCCACGTGCAAGGCAAACACCCTACCCGCTGTGCTATCACTCCAGCCCTGAGGCCCAAGATTCCTTGTTTTTGTCAGACTTGCAGAGGTAATTCTTCTTGTGGGTGCCCCCCCACACCCTCTCCTTTCCTGGTACTCGGATTGAAAGACAGGGCCTTACAGCAAGGCAAATGTTCCACTGCTAAACTTTATCTCAGTGTCATGGTCGTTCTTTTTTCTTTTTTTTTTCTCTTTAAAAGTTATTTATTATTTTGGTTCTGGGGTCCCACCCGGCAGTGGTCAGGGGTTATTCCTGGCTCTGCACTCAGTAATTACTCCTGATGGTGCTTGGGGGAGCATATGGGATGCCGGGGATCAAACCCAGGTTGGTCTCGTACAAGGCAAATAGCCCTCTGCCTGCTGTACTATTTCTCCAACGCAGTTTTCTTTTTTAATTAACAGTAAGACTAATATTGTCTAGCTTTCCTTCCTCTACCCCCTCTCCTGGTCGCCTCAGTTTATTGTCAGAGTCCAAGGGTTCGCTTTATTGGCCATCAGCCATTCTCCTTTCTTTATTTCTACCGGTGCCACATAAAAGTGGGATCATCTGGCATTTGTCCTTCTCTTATTTCACTTACTGTGAGATCCTCTAGTTCTGTTCATGCTGTAGCCAAAGGGAAGATTTTACCTTTTCAAGACCAGTTATTTTCTTTCTTTTTTTCTTTTTCTATTTTGTGGGCAAGGGGCAGGTTGGGCCACACTCAGCTGTGCTCAGGGCTTATTCCTGGCGCTGTGCTAAGGGATCACCCCTGGCAGACTCGGGGCCCCAGAGGGGTGCCAGGGACTGAATCCAGGTCAGTCACATGCAAGGCAAGTGCCCTACTCGCTGTGCTATCTCTGGCCTCCAAGACCATTATTCTTTTACCCACGAGATGTGCCCCAGCACTTCCCAGACGGAGCAGGATTTGCTGAGGGTAGCCTGCAGGGTTGGGGGACTGGGCGGGATTCACACACGCTGCCCTGTACAGCCCTCCCGAGGCCCACGCGAGCAGCTGGCAGAAGCTGTTTGCCTGCACTCAGTTTCAGTTTGAGGGTGTGATTCTGAAGTGTGCCAGTAGGCCTGTGTGAACTTGGCAGCCGGGGAGAAGGATGTCTTGGCTGCAGCGGGTAGATGGTGCTTGTGTGGGGCATGATCATGGTGCGGGGGTAGGGGGGCTGTTACGGGTTCCTAGGGATCACTTTGGGATTAGGGAGTCCCTGGCACTCATTCCTGAGCTCAGTAGCACTTTCCCCCCCCTCACCTTCCGCCTTATGCTCAGGACAGCTAATCCGAGGGAGTACCCACCTCTCTCCTGTGAGCAGAAAACGAGAAACCAATGTTCGGTGCCCTTTTTCTCGTTCTGTTTCATTTTGTTTTGATCTGGGGGACCAGATGGGGCGCTGGAGATCGAACCCGGGTCAGACGTGTGCAAGGCAAGCGTCTGTCCTAACCCTGTCCTAACTCTCTGACCCCATCCCTTTACATATTACAGCTCAGCTCTTACGCTGCCAAGTGGGCTGCTGTTGTTTACAGCTAAGTTTGTTCTAGAGAAAAGGAAATGACATCTGTTGGTAGACATTGCCTTGGACTTAGTACCCCAGCGGGGCGTGGACGTGTCCGGGGAGTAAATCATGGGACCCGAGAGATTATGTTCTCCCTCTGCTCTCTCCTCCTCCCTAGCCACACACCGGAGCTTCCTGGAGGGAGTTTTGGCCCCAGCTTGATTTTTTTTTTTCCCCACCGTGGAACTTCCGCAAGGGAAACTACTCGAGAGGATTTCACCCTGTTTAATCACTGCAGGGTTGTCCTCATCAACGCCCAGTGTTTCATTTGTGGCCAAGAGATGAGTGCCTGGCTCCTGTCCTGGACTAATTGAGGGCGAGTCAGGGCAGGAGGGGTCCTACCTTCCCTCTGCTGTGCCAAGAGCACACTGGATGTGAGCATTTAAATTGGACCAAGGATTCATTTCAGAGGCTGAGTCATCTTCTCAGCTGTGCCTGTGAAATAGCCAATACCTATCAGATACACCCTTATCAATGTATCAAAGAGATCCTAAAGGGAAGATGGACCAGAGGGCTCAGCTCATGCTTTTATTTATTTATTTATTTATTTATTTTTGGTGCTGAAACCCGGGAACGAACCAAAGCTCATGCTTTTAAAACATGCAGGAGACCCAGATTCCATCCGGGCATCAACTGGTCCCTGAGCATTCCCCTAAGCACTATGGTCCCCCAGCACCTCTCAGGGACCATTCCTGGCTCTGTGCTTAGAAGTAACCTCGTTGGCATGCCAAAGTGCGACCTTATGTAGGACTGGGGATTTGAACTGGTGCCAGCCCCATGCCAGGCAAGTGCCTTAATCCCCCTGTACTATCTCCCCGACCCTGGTTAGCTGCCTTTGTGTTGTTTTGTTGGTTTTGATTCCGGTTGTGATCCAAAATGATTTTGAAGTTTTGACTCCTTCAGATTTATAGAAAATGCCTCCCGTATAGCCTGTTTGGCCCAGCTAGCCCCCATTTTCGTATCAGATGCTCTTGGGCCTGAGAGATGGTACAGTGGGTAAGGCGTGTGCCTGGCACGCAGCCGTAGCCGCCCCAGATTCAATCATCAGCATCCCATGTGGTCCCTCAAGCACCTCAAGGAGTAATCCCCGAGCATCACTGGGTGTGGCCTGAAAACAAAACTAAGATCCAACCCTATCCTCTGGCTTTCTATCCAGTATAATCTGGCTGCATTAGTCTAACCCAAAGTTTCTTTTCCAAATGCTGACAGTGTCGGAGAGGCCCACAGGTGGCAGGCCGTGTAGGTGGGTAAACTGGCATCACCATCCTGGCATCCTGAGTAGTCTCCACCGCCCTGTGGTTAAGGTGCCACAGGGCAGTTCAGGTGAATTTGGAAGGGTTCCCTCCCATCCCATTAAATATTGGGTGTTTTTTCCAAAAAATGTGGAGAATCCTCTGATTCCTTTTTTTTTTTTTTTGGTTTGTTTAATGGTGGAAAAGAAATTGTATTTAGGATTAGCCAGCTGGACTGTTTAGATGATCCCAGTTTTGTTGGCAACATCCAAGACATCATAATCAGGAGCCAGCCAAACATATGCCTTTTTCTCTCCATCAGGCCTAATCAGGGTGTTGACCTTGGCTACATCAGTGTCATAGAGCTTCTTCACAACCTGTTTAATCTGGTGCTTGTTGGCCTTGACATCCACAGTGAACACATGTGTGTTGTTATCTTCTGTCTTCTTGATGGCTGACTCAGTTGTCAGAGGAAACTTGATAATGGCATAATGGTCGAGCTTGTTTCGCCAACAAAACTGGGGGTATTTGGGTTGCCTTCTCAGCCGCAGTGTTTTGGGTCTTCTGAAGGTGGGTGATGTGCGGATCTTTTTCTTTTTCTGGCCATGGATGCCTTTCAGCACTACTTTCTTGGCCTTCAAAGCTTTGGCTTTGGCTTCAACTTTGGGAGGGGCAGGGGCTTCCTTCTTGGCCTTTGGCACCATCTTCGTAAGAAGTCTGGTTTCCCAATGAATCTAATCAAAGCAGATAGAGTGTTAACTAGAATTCATCTGCCCCACAGGGACTGGGAGGGGTGGGGGGTGGGGTTTTATTGGGGTTCTTCATAAGGTAAAGGTAAGGTAAAGGCCCTCCCGTTGATCGTCGATTTGCTCGAGCGGGCCCAGTAACGTCTCCATTGGAGACTTTGTTGTTACTGTGTCTGGCATATCGAATACTCTCGGTAGCTTGCCGGGCTCTCCGAGAGGGGTGGAGGAATCGAACTCGGGTCGGCCATGTTGGCCGCTTGTAAGGCAAACGCCCTACCCGCTGTGCTAAAAAATAAGTATTGGTAAAGGGAAATGTGTTTGATATTTGCATGACTGAGACCTAATCCTGAAAGCTTTGTAACCTTTCCCACGGTGATTCAATAAATAAATAAATAAAAAAGAAAAAAAAAAGAAGTCTGGTTTCCTTTTAACCAGCGGATCTCTTCTAGATTTCGGGCTCCTTCTGCAGGTGATCAGCTATAAGGTAACCAGACTCCGCTCGGGTTTATGTGGCTATCACAAGAGGGTTCCACTTAATCATCTCCGTCTCTGGACGTGGGCGATGACTCAGATCCGAGGGCGCTCACTGTGGCAGAGATCCCCGGGTAATTGCAAGTTCCCCCGGGTCTCCTGGTCTACCCGATTCTGCTGCTTGTGGTATAGCTGTGGCGTAAGGGAGAGTTAAACTGTATTAAACCCACTATTTTCCCTTTTGGCTTTTGGGTCACAACCTACTGTGTCTCCTCCTTATTCTGTGCTTAGTGCTCATTCCTGGCTTTGCTCAAGGGGACCAAAAGTGGTACTGGGGGTCAGACCAGGGTCAGCCTTGGGCCAGGCAAGAGCCTGAACCCCTGTATAGTACACTCCACCCCCATTTAACAAATTTGAAACATAAACAGCCACTTCCTGGTTAGTTGATTATTTCCTTTCTTCTGTCAATTGTGAGTTTAATTTTTTTTTTCTTTTTGGGTCACACCTGGTGATGCCCAGGGGGTTACTCCTGGCTTTGCACTCAGGAATTACTCCTGGCGGTGCTGGGGGGACTATATGGGATACTGGGAATTGAACCGGGTCGGCCGCATGCAAGGTAAACAACGCCCTACCCGCTGTGCCACTGCCCTAGCCCCTGTTGTTTTATTTCTTGAGGTGGAAGGTGAGACCATGAATTTTTATTTATTTTTTTTGGTGGTGGGGAATTGCACACCCAGCAGTGCTCAGGCGTTACTCCTGGTTCTGCACTCAGGAATCACTCCTGGCAGTGCTCGACAGACCATATAGGATGCTGGGGATCGAACCCAGGTCAGCCATGGCAAGGCCAGGAGCCTACTGGCTGAATTGTCACTGCCCTGGAGGTTACGGATTTCTGTTTCTACATAGGAGCCCCAGGTTTGTTCCCTAACACCACATGGTCCCCCAAACACTGCCATATGCCCCCCACCCATACAAATATTAACAGAAGCATTTCCAGCTTTGTTTAAAGTGGTTTTCCGTAGTCAAGTATACCTCAATCTTCCTTTTTTTTTTTAATCCGACCTGATACTGTCTTTTCATTGGGATATCCCAGTTATTTGCGTTTGTTGAATCTATCATTTTTGCCATTTGTTTCCTTTTTTTTTCTTTTTTTGCTTTTTGGGTCATACCTGGCGATGCACGGGGGTTACTCTCGGCTCTGCACTCAGGAATTACTCCTGGCGGTGCTCGGGGGACCATATGGGATGCTGGGAATCGGACCCGGGTTGGCCACGTGCAAGGCAAACGCCCTACTTGCTGTGCTATAGCTCCAGCCCCTCAATTCCATTCTTATTTCTTTTGCCGTCTTAAACAAGTGACAACTACTATTTTTTTCTACCTTTTATTTTTGCAGGGGGTGGTGGTTGGTGCTGGGGGGGGGGGCATATGCGATACCAGGAAGAGAACCTTGGAAACTGCAGCTCCCTAGGCAAGTGCCTTAACCCTTGCTCTGATCTCCCTGACCTCAGTTTATATCTTGAATTTGCATAATCATCCTCCACTGAGATTTGACCACTTCCGTGGAGATAAAGAACTGAAGTAGGATATTTCTTCTCCCCCACCCCGCTTTTGTTGGTTTTGGGGGGTCATAACTGGCAGGGTTCAGGGGCTGCTCCTGGCTCTGTGCTCCAGCATAACTCCAGGTGGTACTTGGAGGATGTTGTAGCATGCCCTCACTTCCTTCCTTCCTTCCTTCTTCCCTTCCTCCCTTCCTTCCTCCCTCCCTCCCTCTCTCCTGTCCTCCCCTTCTCCCCTCCTCCCCTCCTCCCTGTGCTGGGATTCAAACCCAGGACATCATTCATCCTACCAATAAGCTCCATCCCTGTCTCTTCTCATTCATTTTTCCTACAGAATAGTTGTAAACTCAAATGCATTATTATTATTATTATTATTATTATTATTATTTTGTCTTTCAAAGAGTCATCAGTGATGGGGAAAGAGTGCAGTGTGTTTGCCCACAGTTGGCACTTTGAGTCCTGGCATTTCTTGCCGAGACCCAGGGTGCTGCCACCTGCAGCCCTGTCCTGCCTGGCTCCTATAAGCCCTTGTCAATATGGATCTGCCATTTTCTGGTTTCTAACAGGAAGTCTAGTCATTCTCTCTTCCTCTAGCAAGAATGGATTCTCGTTTTCCTGCTGTGTGGGTAGTGGAACAAAACAAAACAAAGAATTTCCTCTTCAGGATTTTAAAGAATTTTCCTCCTTTTTTGTTTGTTTTTAATTTTTCTTGTGAGGGGCTGAAATTACAGTGGGTGGGGTGCTTGCCATGCACACAGCTGATCCAGGTTCGACTCCCCAGCCGCTGGGTGTGGCTCAAAAACCAAAACAGACCAAATCGCTTTGTGATATGCCTGGGTTTGTTGCTTAGTCTTGAGAGATGCTGAGATCTTGCGTTTGTCATTTTCAGGAAGTTTAGAAAAGAAAATCTAGCCATGCTCGAACCCAAGCCCCCAGGCTGCACACACAGCTCGGCGCTCCAGCCCATAGGTAGATGGTAAGCACTGGTTCCCCGGCCCAAGCAGTTCCTTTTGGTTTGTTCACGGTGGGGAACATTTCTGGTTCTGAGTCTTCAAGTTCACTAAGTTTTTCTTTGGCACGGTCTCATCTGCTCTTTCAACGGTCCCAGTCTGTCGTTTGTATCAGCCGGCTTAGTCGTCTGTTGGATCCTTGAGCTTATAGAACACAGTTGTGACGTGCTGGCCCTGCCCACTCTGGTGAATGGCCCTTCCAGCTGAGTGGTTTTCTGTCTGTTTCTGCTGGGTCTGCCCCTGCTTCTTTGCATTCATGTTGACCTTTTCTTGGACTTAGCTTGTGGGGTGCTGGCTAGGTTTTTATTCCTATGAGTATTCTTTTGCTTGTTTATTTTGGGGTTGGGGCCACACCTGGCTCTGTGCTCGGGGAGTGACCCTGGCAGTGCTTGGGAAATCATATACAGTGCTGGGGATCAAACCCGGATCAAGCGCCTAAACCTCTGGACCATCTCTCCAAGCCCTCCTTGGAATATTCTTTAACTTGATTGGGGCTGCAGGTTAGTAACTTTACTGCAAACTGGGAAACAGCTTGACTTTTTCCAGGCTTTTTGAGCCTTAGCAAGAACAGTGGTTAGAGTGGGCTGATTTTGCCTCAACTGCTGAGGAAGGACCCTCCGAGTACCCTACCAAAACCTTCCTGGCTGGGGTTGCAGGCACTGTTTGTAGTGCTGTGATCTTGGGGTCACTCCCAGCAGTGCTCAGATTGTGAGGTGCCCAGGACCAAAGCCCAGCCTTATCCATCAGAGCCACGTGCCCAGCCTATGAGGCTGTCTGCAGCCCTTTCCTGTGGTTCTGTAGCATCAGTCTAAAGCTGCATGTGCGTTTCAGCATCTGCATCGTGCAGTGGGGCACACTTCTCCAGTGGACCTACGCTTTTCAGACCTGCGCAGTTTTAGACAAGGATATCAAAGCTCTCCTTTGTCGATAGTTGGGTCACCGCTGTGCACGCACACTTTCCCAGGGACACAAATAAAGCCCTAGAATAAATTGCAGAAAGTGGGATGGCCGTGTCAGAGGCTGCGTGCTGATTTCCTCTCTTAGAGCTCTTGGGGGTCTTTTTCCCCAACACAGTGTATTAAACTTTTTTAGATGTTTGTGCCTTTTTTTTTAAACTTAAAAAAAGGGGGGCTGGCACAATAGCACAGCAAGTAGGACGTTTGCCTTGCACCCAGGTTTGATTCCCAGCATCCTATATGGTTTCCTGAACACTGCCAGGAGTAATTCCTGAGTGCAGAGTCAGGAGTAACCCCCGTGCATCACCAGGTGTGACCCAAAAAGGAGGGGGAAAAAAGTATTTTAGTTTGAAGTGCACGCTCAGGAGTGTTTAGGGGCTTCTCCCAGCTCTGTGCTCTGGAGTCACTCCCGGCGGTTCTGGGGGTGGAAATGTCGTGCCAGAGATCAACCTGGGCCACATGTAAGGCCAACAACTTTCCTCGCTACTGTCTCTCTAGCCCCACATTTTAAAAAGAGTTAGTGGACAGAGTATCAAGGGGTCACCTTTTTCCCCTTGGTTTTTGGGGCCACACCTAGCAGCGCTTAGGAATCGCTCCTGGCAGGGTTCAGGGGACCATATAGGATGCCAGGAGTGGAACATGAGTCTGCCATGTGCGAGACAAATGCTCTGCCTGCTGGACTGTTGCTCCAGCCCCTCAAGGGGTCACCTCTATGAAGGGTGACAGAAGCTGATCCCTGCTAATAAAATCCAAAAATAAAGAACTGAAACATAATTCCTTTTTATTCATGATTTTTATTTGGCAGGATGGGAGGAACACCTGATGATGGCCAGGAGTTACTCCTGGCTCTGCTACTCAGGAATTACTCCTGGTGGTGTTTGGGGACCATATGGGACGCTGGGGACCGAATCCGGGTGCACGTGCAAGGCAAACACCTCCCCTCTGGATCCCTCCGGCTGATCCAT